AGGGAAAGCAACAGCGGCGGGTGCCAAAGGTGTCTGCAGCAAAGGTGGGAGTAGGGAGCTCTCTGCGCTTCGCCATGATCGCCCGTTAGGAGCGGCTGTTGGCGAGGATGCAAGGGGGGGAATTAAGTCACCCCCCGAAAAGACGGCCTAGCCGTTTTTTCGGGACTCAAAAAAAAATAAGGCCCGGCCTTATTATGTGAGAAACACGGTAGATATTTTTCTATTTCTAATGGCATTAAATAAACAATATTTATAAATAACTTTTTTATAGTGAAGTATTATGTATATATATGTATATATATATATATATTAATGATTATTTGTTTTTTTAATCAGGAGAAGATACCCTTGACATTTTAAATATGGAAGGATGCCATATACATTCCTGACTATTTTAAAGAACTGCAATATAGAGACAGCATTAGAACAGTCTGCGGGTCTACTAATAACAGAGGCAGATGAGATCGAGAACGACAATTCTGTTAAACTTTGCTTTTGGAAGCAGACTAAAAAATATTGTAACACTACATTCTTTGTCAGAAATACTGCATGTCCAGAAAATTTTGATATAAGAATACATAAAAAGAAAATTGAAAAAAGCACATTGGTGAAATATCAGAATGAAAAATTTGAATAACTTCTTATGTATAATGTTCTGCCCTGCAAAAAGAATATAGTAGTAAAATCATTTGATTGTTATTAAGACGTTGTTACAATCTACAGGTATCAAGCCTCAAAGCTTTAAACCTAATTGTGGATCTCTGCATACTGTGTTTGATCAAGAAAAATCCCCATCTTCTAAGGGTATGGGACAGGATGAACTTAGAAGTATCCCTAATGTAATACATGATATAAAGTTAATCACACAAAAAGACGTTTTCAAGAGAAATGTCCAACATACTAAAAGTCAACATGGAAAGCGAATCATGGAAAATAAATTGTCCATGGATTTTAAAAAGCCAAGCAAAAAAACTAAAAATGCCAGAGGGCCTAGAAGAATCATCAGTCATGAAAGTTCTCATAAATGAGGATATTTCCACTGAACATGGAATACCAATAGAAGATAATACTGTTGCCATAGATTCTGCAGTAATTTCAGAAAAACTAGATTATAATGAAACAAGTATCCTATCTTTATTAGATTGTATACCTGATTTACCTGATTTAAGTCTGGAGCTGCCTTCTCAAAATCAAGTTGCCACCATGTCTAGCAATGAAACAGCAGACCAAGAGCATGTCATTACATACAGTTACAATATTTTTGAGAAATCGGTAGTTCTCAAAACAGACAAGAATGAATTAAAAGAAATGGATGAAAAGAAAACCATAACGGAGACACTGGATAGTGAAAAAAGTATGAACTGTAATAGTAGGAAACCACAACTGTATAGCTGTCAAAGGGTAATCCCAATTAGTGGTAAAAATATATGGCTTCGTGAATCATGCGCAAGGACATCCTTGTGGGTTTGTAAAAATCATGCATTGGATTCACATACAGGATATTTAGAAGATACTGATTCAGTAACAAAATGCAGCAAATTGGAGGTCCATAAGCCATTGGTAGATAGTTGTAAAATATCTATAAATACAATGGAATGTGTTGAAAGTTCAGACTCTGTATTGCATAAAGGGAAGACACTTTCACCTATTACCGAGAATAGGTTTTCTTCTGATGATATCGAAAGATCTAAACAAAGTACACTTGGTACTGAAATTGCAAAATCAAAAGTGATTTTGAATTTAATAAGGAAAGAAGTCAAAGAAAAAAATCTAAATATTCAGAAAGGCTCATTTGCAGGCATTAGGAAAAAGAGGACAGATAATCCAAAAGCATCAGTTACCAAACAAAAAACAGTGTTGAAAAATTTGGCATCAGGAACTTTGTCAAATTTCAAAATTCCTTTAGTTAAGGATAAATGTAATTTTAGAAAACCACAAACTGAAACATCATCCAAAAAAGATGCTGGCAATTCTTCAAATGTTTTAAAGAATGCTCTTTCTCTAAAAGAAGGTAGAATTGAAGCGGCTTCCTCTGTCAAAAATTCTAGCTCACAAATCCAATCTGACCAGGAGAATTATACGTCTGCGCTGGAAAAATACATAGATCAATTCATCAGTGATATCTCTGAAAACTTTTCTAAGAGAACAGTTTGTAATACTTTTGAGAGTATTTTACATGAGAATAAACTAAAATCACCAACTTTGAATACTACTCCTTTCTCTTTGAGTACTGAAAATATAGAGGAACAAATGCTAAATTCTGCTTTGGCCTCAGGAATTATTGATAAAGTTAATGTCAACAATAAGTTGGCACAGGACAATTATGACATTTGTACAGATATTCTTAAGGCTTACGAAAATGATATTCTTGTGATAGATGTTATTCAAGATGACCCTGACCTGTTTGGAGATATTGTTAAGAAAGAAGATGACTATGCAAATATTCATAATACTAAAAACATTTATACTAGTGACTTTTCAGAAAAAGATCTGGAATGGAAACCGAACTCTTCTCAACTTTCAAAAAGCAAGCATTTGAAATCCATTAGGTAGGCTTGTTGCTTTGAATGTTGGTGTAATGTGTGTGTGTGTGTGTGTGTGTGTGTGTGTATAGTGTGGCTTTTAAAGTGCAATTCAAAGATCTTACATACAAAATCTTAGAACTATAGAATATGAAGTGATCTAATACAAGTGATGTGATAAATTAGAATTTAGGAGTTGGAATAATCAAGAGTATACCATACTATATATACTATATTAAAATTGTTCACAGAGAAATTTGAAGCATGTCAACGGTAACTGTAAAGCAAACATGTCTTCTAATATTAGGATTTTATATGATTGTTTTGTTTTAAATATGCAATAGCACTTACATGTAGTAAAGAATCTAGCTGTTTATGTTCAGACTTATTTGAGTTCAGTTCACTTTATTATACATTACAGATAGAAGTACAAGGTAGATTATGTTCTTAAATGTGAAAATTAAATACAAATTATTTTGCATTATTTTTTTCACTTAAACATCTAGATAAATCTTCATGCCTAAATGGATATGTCCGTAGTGCAATAACATCCATTTTAGATGGTGGAACTATCAATATAGTTTCAGTATTTCAGGTTTGACCCTTGTGAGATAAGGTTATACAATAAAAAAGCCTAATTTTAGAGAGGAACAATTCTCCAGAATTATTGGGTATGTGTGCGTGTCTACAATTTTTCTTGAAATATTAAAACATTTAATAAAGAACAAGCATAACAGAAGAACCAACTTAGAAAACATTAACCTTGACTTTAAAATAATAAAATATTGCATTCATGCATCACATCAACAGTTCAGACTAAGATGTTACTTGTATGACCTGTGATAGAATACTCTCTTGCCCATAAGATCCACTTTCATCTCCAAACTATTTCCTTCAGATTCTTAAAAGACTACTCTCATTTATTTGTTCTTGATGTTACTTCATCTTCTAGATGAAAATTCTTTATTTAAGTGGCATTTTCTGAACAAATTAGTTGGAAATGTAAAAGTAGTTTATTTCTTGGTTATTCAGTACCTGCATCTGATCCCATGTTATTCCTGAACCAAGTTCCATGTATTTGTTATAATGATTGAAATTGATGAAATTGCTGTACGTGTAGCTACTACATATAATGAATTTGGTGTAGTGCAGGGGTCTCCAAACTGTAGTTTGTGGCCTATATCTCCCCCTACCTCCCGAAGGTTCCTTCCAGCCTGCCAGCTCCTCCTATGTGCTGTGCTCTGATCCTTTCCAGACAGTGCAGGGAGTGAAAGCATGGTTATGTTCACCACTGTTTGAAAAGGAAAGTAGGATTTCCATGATTTCTCCAATGTGGGGAGAGGGGTTGCAAACCAGCTGGAGAATTGCTGGATGAGGAAGGGGAAGCATAAGTTATGAGTTAAGTAGAGTGTGTTATGCTGTGCTGTTTTAATAGGATAAGAGCTTGATACATACAATTTAAGTTTTATAAAATCTTTCATTTACAGAGAAAACTTCATTCAAAATTATGAAACACTGAAATTGGATGAAAATGCTGAGGGTTTGGTGATACAAGGTAAAAAGTTTGAAATGGAGAAAAAAATAGTTTACATAATTTTTGACAACATAGTTAATTTGCATAATTGTGTAATAAAATAAATTGATGCGTATAATATATAATATATAAGTATAATGCACAGATCTAGCAATGGCGCAGAAGATTTTGGAAAGAATAGATTACTTATTTTATAGGGGAACTCCAAACAAATACAGTTATTATAAGGTAGTCTTTGACTTGTGACCAATTCAAAGTTATGACAACATCAGAAAAAATGCTTTACCTCTATTTGGATTCAGTTTTGGTTCTATTTTTATTTTATTGGAGAAAATTAAAAACAATTTCATTTTAGAAAAAATGAAGACAAAGCACAAACAAAACATTAAAAAATAAAATAAAAAAATAGTTTACATAATTTTTGACAACATAGTTGTCAAACTATCAATAGAATAGAATAACTTTATTGTCACTTTGAATGTATATTAATTGGCATACATTAAAATGCAATTTTGTTGCATACAGCTCTCAAAGGATTACCACCATTACATAACCATGACAGAATAAATAAATACTAAATTATGCATATTACTATTTATATTATATGACACAGAAACAATACAGTCTAGTTTGGATATATTCATATACATGGCGAGAAAGTTTTTTACCAGATGGATGCATAGGGAACAAAGCTGTTACAGAATCTAGTAATCCTGCTAGAAATATTTCAAAACCTCCTCCCAGAAGGGAGCAACAGAAACAGACCATAAAGTGGGTGTATGGTGTCTCTAACAATACTTTGAGCTCTAAGCATATAGTGCTTATGAGCAATATCCTCAATAATGGGAAGCAAGCTTCCTATAATAATCTCGACTGTCCTTACCACTCTCGGTATGGACTTTCTATCTGAGGCACTGCTGCCATCAAACCAAACAGTGATGCAGTTTGTTAAAGCGCTCTCAATCTTGCCTCTGTAAAAAGTGGCCAGGACAGAAGGAGAAAGATGTGCTCTCCTCACCCAACAGAGGAAATGTAGACAGTGGTTTGCATATTTCATTAAGGATGATGTGTGGAGACACCAAGTCAGATTGTTAGTTATCTGCACCCCCAGATGCTTAATACTGTTAACCCTATGCTGGCTCTTTCTAAAATCTACATTGAACTCCTGTGTTTTATCAACTTTTAGAATCAGGTTACTTTAATTGCACCAGTCCACCAGAGCCTTCACCTCTTCTTTATAAGCATCTTCATTGTCATCCTGGATAAGACCCACCACTGCTGTGTCATCCACATATTTCCCAATATGATTTGTATGCAGATTTGGCATAGCAGTTATGGGTTATCAAGGTGAACAGTAGGGGACTCAAGACGCAGCCCCGTGGGAAACCTGTACCCAAGGAGATGGAGTTGGAAACATTGAAACATCCCTCCAGTTGAATGTTGATCAATATTACAATATTAATTTCCCATCCCTTACAAAACAAGCCCACCCCCCAATTTTTAAAAAATGAAACATATTTGCAAATTATTAACTTGTAATCGATATACATTAATGACAAAATAGTTAACAAAAACAATAATAATAAAAAGGCAAGATTAAAGTTTCCAAACCATCTATTAACATACTCTTATTCTAATCAACTTGTAGGAAATTTCCCATGGCATTTTATCTATTCCAAATCATTCCGAGTTAACAGTAATTCTTCCTGAATTAAGTTTTCACATTTGTTTCTTAATACTATCTCTTATCAATTGTGTGGTTAAACATAATAAATTGAACTTCCAAAGTCAGTCTATCTTCACACAAAAAAAGTCCAGATAAAATTGTTTTCCAATTATATGTAATAAATCCATGTCCTTCAGTCCTGGGAAAAATCTATCACTTCTTCACTCACTCAGGTTGCTTCTGTTATAAAAAAATTTCAAGGAGGTGTATACAATCAACTCTGTTCTAAGTCTGTACAGTGCATTTTTCCCCCCAACAGATCTGCTGCTTTCAAATCACATTCCTTTTGGGGACCTAATTTATCAAGAGCTACAGACATCTGAATATTTTCTACAACTATTATCAGTTCATCAAGCTTTTGAAAAAAACCTGTTCATTAAGGATTGCATATTACTAAATGGTCTTTTTTCAGATACCAGCCACATCCTGTACTTGAACTAATGAAGGTCATACCTTCTACAGATGTGTGATCATAATTTGGGTATTTGGCAACTGACTCACATTTACATATGATTGCAGTAGTTTGCAATCATGTGATGATGATTTGCAATCTTTTTTCAGCTTTTTGCCAAAAAAATCCTTTGGAGAAGTTGGATTTGCTTAACAACCAACCATGTGATTCAATAAAGATTAGTGATTTGTTATCTGACCGTGGTAAAAAATTGTTGTAAAATCGGGTTCAGGCATGTGATTACTTACGACTTCACTGACTTTGGAATTGTGAGTTATTCAGATATCTAAAATTCAGTATTTATGCTTTTCTATTAGCAAAATATGTTATTTTCATCCCACGTTAGGGTTAAATATTCTTTTTCCAAAACATTCTGAAATTTATAAGTTTAAAGCATATAAAATCTGAAAAGATTCAGGGGTATTAGAATAATGAGATATCTCAAATGCTGCCTACCAGAGCTGTTTTGACCTTGCCCGTTTAGATTGCTTATAGAATCCCTGCCTAAATTGTTTTACTATAATATCAGTTTCTTCTCTTATGCTTTTCCAGCACACTATTCACTTTAGTCCTCTAATGCATTTTACTTAAATAGTCCTTAATTTAAATAAGAATGGTAAGGTATTTCATATCTTGTCCAGAAGCCAATGTCAATTGAGAACTAACAATAATCAGTGTATGGGAGGTAGTTAACCATATTCAATTATATTGTTCTTTTTGTATGTTCCAGATTTGAGTTTTATTTTTAAAACCGGTTCAGACTCAAATTGTTATCACAAGTCAGTCGATAATCAATTGCATCCAGTATTTATTACTTTTCAGTCCATTAATTTAAAGAACAATTAACAGAAAAAAATATTGTAGGAAATACATTTTGTTGTTAACATTGTTAACTCTGTTTTTGTATAAAAAGTTATGGTCCAATTAACATGCAAGCCAAACATACATTTTATGTATAATGCCATAATGCTCCCCTTGTCTGTGGTTTGCTTTGTATTTGTATAAAGTTTTGCATTGTGTCCTAAATATAAAAGGAAAAGAAGCATGTAGATTAGTAGCATTCTCCTCCTGTTGGATTTGTTGCTATATAATGTGCTTAGAGTTAGGTTTACAACCTGTGAACCAGGATATGTTAGTCTTATGATCAGAAGACATAACCAGATATAATTAATGACTCTATACAGCTTAATTAAAAATATGGCATGTATATACTTTGTTTTTTAGAGAACTAAGAATTTTATAGTTTATTTGTAATTCTTGAGGATTTACCATATCTGAGTTATGTCTGAATTTTTTTGAAACATCAAATCACAGCAATTCATAAGAACTTTAAATTGCATTCCAGTTAATGTTATTTTTTGGCCAACTATTTCCCCTTCTTTAATATGTGTATACTGTATGTGTATATGTAGAAATTAAAAATTAATTAGCCTGGATTTTAAAAATGTATAAACCTTTATTTTATGAATTTGGACATATTATTAATCTCTACTGAAGCATTTAGGGCTTAATATCAAATGAGTTCCATAGTGGCATATTCTCATGATAATTACAGCTTCATGTTTTGAATGTATAAGTGGCCACCATTAATCAAATGATTAATAATGTCATATTATCTGGTACCACAAGTTTCTGTCCAACATAGAAGTGTCATTTTAAATGTAGAGTTATTACTTTAGGAATACTGAAAAAAATCCCATTTTTCAGTTAAGCATTCCGTTTCTATTGTTGCTATAGTTCAAAAGTACACATGACATTATTTTTCTCAAATGATGAAATTAAGTCAGGCTCTAAATGGAATCAATTCTATAGGAGGAATATCAGAATCATCTCCTGAAGATGGACAGCTGTCAGAACTGAATAAACTTACCAAGGTTTTTGATACAGATGAAAAGGTATAGAAGTACATTGATTTTGTTGCATAATAATAATTAAATGTGTAATGAATACTGCATTGGGGAAAGTTTATCTTTTACAAGTAATATTACAGATTAATAGTGTTGGAACGGACCTTGTAGGTCATCTAGTCCAAACCCACCCCCACCCAAGCAGAAGACCCTACACCATTTCTGACAAATGGCAGTCCAATCTCATGTTGAAAGTCTCAAGTGATGAAGCTCCCCCAACTTCCGAAGGCAAGCTGTTCCACGATTATTACCCCCCCCCCACATCATAATCTTGGATCATATTTCATTACAATACTCCCTTTTTCTTAACAAAAATTTCACTTGTTTATGTTAAATATTTTATCACCTTTTAAACTACATATTATTTCTAATTTTCTATAATTACTTCTAAATACAGATATAAAAATGCAATCTTATGTACCTTCTAGAATCCCATTAACAATAAGACTTATCCATTATCTCTGAAAAACTTTTGCTTCTTAATATCTTGCTCCCCACCATCCTTTCTCCCTTGCTTCTTCTTCTCCTTGTCCTCTTTAACCCCTTGTCTCCCCACCTCCCTTTTATTCTGCTTTCCCCCTTTCTGTTGTTTCTTAACATAATGTCCCTTTTCCACCTTATTCTTCTCTTTTTGGGCTGTTTTTCCAGATCTTAAAGACCTCCGCTTTTTCCCTTCTCCAATCAAAGTCCTTTTCTCATCAAAGATGGCTTCTCCTTCTTTATCCCCATCATCCTCATTCTGCTTCACATAAATATAAATCGCCATTTCTAAGTATTGGAAAATAGTGCCAAGTCCATCTTCACCTCCTTGTTTTTCTCTTTCAAATTTTTGATATATAAGTTCCAATTCATCCATAGATGATGCCGTTGTGTAGAGAAAAAGTTTTTCCAAACAACCACCCAGATGATTTAATCAGAAATAATTTCCAAAGGTTCCAAAATCACCAAACAATCCAAACAGACTGTTTCTTTTAGATACCTTCTTCTTCTTGACTTTCTCTTTCTGGGGTTAAAGTAATCACAAATCCTTTTCAAATATATTTTTTGGAAGTTTTTAAACTCTTTGCAATTCTAGGCAATCTTCTCCTTATTTTCAAATTTTGCTCAGATTTTTTTAACTCTCCCTTCCCACTCACAGCCAAAAAGATTTTTTTTTCCGGTGTCACTTTAGGAAGGAGAGTCGAACAAAGAAAAAAAAACTTTTCCCTTTAGGGTATTCGCAGCTTGTAACTCTCGCAAGGAACAATAGATACTTAACAGCTTTCAAGGTTCCAAATAACTTTCTCCCGTCTTGTCCCAGCCAGAAGCAACTTTCACTTCTCTTTCAGCTCTCTCCCTCCTGCTCTTGCTTACCCGGCTGCAGCTTTCTTCGTGGCGGCCATTGCTGACCGCCTTTCCTCCGCCTCAGGAAAAGGGAGTTTAGCCGGCTGGGGAGGGGGTTTGCGGTACCCCCAAACCCCTTGCCGGATCCCCCCTATCTTCCGCTGCCTCTACAGGGCAGCTGTATCCCCCAGATCCAAATGGATCGGGGGAACCTTGGCAGTGAACGCAGCAGGGATCGCACAGTGGCAAATCCCTGCCACCGCCGAAAGCTAGCAAACCGGAAGGCTGGCTGCCTCTGCTTCCTTAGGGGCAGGGAAGGGGGCTCATCTGGACCAAGGGTGAGTCTCCCCCTCAGTTTCCCCTGAAGGATCTTCCGTCGCTTTTGCCTTCTCCCTACATCTCCGCTCAGGTGTCCGGCTGGGGCTGTCGGGAGTTGCTGCCGCCGGTGCGGCTCCGGTCCCGCGTTGCCTTGGGAAGGGTGGGGCAAAACCAGGAGCCGCTGAGCCTGAGCCTCCGGTGCCGCTGCTGCCGTTGCAAAGCGCTGCCGCGGCTCTTCCTTTTTGCCTTTCCCTTCCCGAGGCGACGCGGGACTGGGGCCGCGCCGGCGGTAGCGACTCCTGACTCAGGGGGCCTCCAAGGGGAGGGGAAGAGAGTGACTCCTGCCTCCCGCTGTCATCATCATCTTCTTCTTTTGGGTTAGTGAATCAATTAAACCTTTCATGATAGTGAGATCGTTTCCCAAATTAATTATTTTTATTTTTGAAATTTACCAGTAGCTGCTGCATTTCCCACCCTCAGCTTATACTCGAGTCAATAAGTTTTCCCAGTTTTTTGTGGTAAAATTAGGTGCCTCAGCTTATATTCGGGTCGACTTATACTCGAGTATATACGGTAAATAGTAATGGGGATAATGGACATTCTTGTCTTGTGCCTTTTTTAATATTAAAATTCTTCATCAAGTCCCCATTAACTATTACTTTTGCCATTTGCTTGTGATATATTGCCTTAATCATGTTTATAAACTGCTCGCCAAAGTCCATACAACCTAACTGTTGTATCATAAATTGCCAATTTATATTATCTAAGGCTTTCTTTCTTTTTTTGGTCACATTTTTTATTTTATATTGCTTATACAAATAAATGCGTGAACAGTGGGTATCATACTTTTTAGTACAAATAAACATATTATTATTACTCATAGTTATTACATTTCATTTTTATTGTTTCATATTGTTTAAACATATCTAATCCATCATTCATTTTCTAAATCTCCCTCTTATTATTACATGTATTTTGTCATATTAAACTTTTATTCATGTCACCATAGTATTCAAAGACATTTCTGTCTTCCATCTTTCACCTGCTTTATAATTCATATTTCCCTTATTTAACTCTTCACATCTAAATATATTAAAGTTTTATCCTTCATTCTTTCATTGTTCAGTTTTTCAATAAATCCTGACAATACAATTCTAATACCAATCACAATATAATTTAAACATATAGGCTAGATCTATTCATATTCCTTCCATTCATCCAATCCATGTAATTTTTCTATTAATACACATGTTTATATTAAAAAGTATTCTTTCATTATCTAATTACTCATAGCAATTTTATTATTTCACTGCTAATCATTATATTATTTAGGCATGTTAATAATACCATCATTCATTCTCTAATATTTTCCAATTAATGCTTAGTTGTTATTCATAATTCCCATATTTCACTCTTCATATCTATTTGTATTAAAATATTGTCCTAATGCCTATCACAGTACATACAAAATAATTATCCAGTCTATATAATTCAAATGTTAATATACGTGTTTTGGTTAAAATATGTTCTTGAAGGATCTCCCTTTTTTTTTTTTAACTACCCATCGTCTCTTGGCCTCATCAGTACCTTAAGTCTTATTCTTTTTTTTAACTTGACTCCCATATTCTTCTCTTGGATCTTTAACTCTTATCTACATCTGCATCCTGACTGTTCAATCCAACTTTTTCTCCCCTTCCTACCCTTTTCCACTGTCTAATTTTAAAGCTATCTGTTCTAACCACTATCCTTTTCCAAAATATCTTCCTGTTTCTCCCATTCTCTTTTTAAGTATTTTAGTTGTTTTCCTTTCATTTAAATTCCTTAATCATTATTAATTTTGTTCATATCTCTTCCTTGTTGTCTTCTTTTCGCTGGTTTCTCAGTTCTGCTTTTTCCTCCATTCCTGAACATCCTAGTCTTTGCTCGTTGTCCCTTGTATAGTATTTTCCAGTTTTTAGTCTATGCCATACCACAGTTGCCTTATGTTGTTTCAATATAACCATGGTGGCGAACCAATGGCACACGTGCCAGAAGTGGCACACAGAGCCATTACTGCCGGCACACAAGCACTCGCCCAGAAAAGGTCTATTGTGCGTGCGCTGCGCACCCAACAGCTGATTGTCAGGTATCTGGTGCGGGGGTGTGGCGGCATGCAGGAGATATTCGCACATGCGCAGAAGTGTGTGATGCATGCGGGGGGGTCATGCATGCATGCGCAGAAGCGCACAGCATGGGTTGCGCAGGTTATGCGTGCATGCACAGGAGGCATGGAGGGGCTTCTGGGTGATGGCACGTGAGCACGAGCAGGCAAGCACGCATGCAATTATTGGCACAGGAGCCCAAAAAGGTTAGCCACCACTGCTATATAAGATCCTTAATGCTTTAGAGCATCAGCTCCATTTTGCTTAAAATTCCACTCATTTTCACCTTGCGTTGTGTATTTTATATTAGTAGATCCCACTTTTAGCCAAAAGTCCAGGAACCATTCAAAGCTAAGCGTACACAAATCAAAATTATTTAAATCTCATATAATCAGTCAAAGCCATTTAAATAGACGAGGGGGTTATCCAAACCTCCTCAAATCACTTTTATGAATTCAATCATATAAGATTCAGGGGTCTTTTAATTAAAGTTCTTATTTAAAAGTCTCCAGTGATCTTAGGGTAGATGAATGTAATCCAATAAGTGTTTTCATAATCCTTCAAATGGTTATTCCCAGGCTTGTATATTTTTCCTCTCATCAGCAGATGGTGCTCTCTACTATCCATAGTTCCAGCATTTTAAAATGCCTTCTCAAAACCACAGCTTCTCACTTTAAGAGTCCCAATTTTCTATATTTTTAAGGAATAAATTAATCACTTTTCAAAATGCTTGTTTGGCGTTTAACAAATAGTTCTAATAGATAGTTCCCCTGAATTTCTTTGGGGTCAAATTTTAACTGAAAATATTCTGTTACCCAGTTCACACACTATTCACCAAAGTCCACTCCTACACTGTGCTTAGATGGTCGTCAACTGTCCCAGCTTCGTGATAGCCATCTTTAGACTGCCACTTCTCTTCGCTGTGGCATAGAGGGAAAAAAGCCCCAGGATTCAGCAGCAGAGTTGCGATCTTTCCTGCGATCTCTCAGACCACCTCTTCTTTAGCTTCGCTGCCCCTACAAACAGGGAGAAGCCAGCACAGGAATGGAGAGCTTCATTTCCTATGACTGATAATGCGGTGGAGCTGCAACCCTCCATTATCAAAGGCTTTCTGTGCATCTAAAAAAAATCAATGCCATTTGCTTTTCCAAGTATATTCATAATATTCCAAACTGTTTAAAATAAATCTTACATTATTTTTAATTTGTCTTTTTGGTAGGAACCCATTTTGATCTGGGTGAATAAATTTATTCAAAAATCTTTTTAGTCTCTGCTACAATTGATGCAAATATTTTATAATCTGCATTTAGTAATGATATAAGTCTATAGTTCTTTATCTATGTCAGGTTTGAGTCTTCTTTCAGGATTAATGTTTGCTTCTATCCAAGTATTTGTTATCTTAGCTTTCAGCAAAACCTCATTATAAACCTCTAACATTGACAAACTCAACGTATCCTGTAATTGTTTATATACTTCTGCTGGTAGTCCATCTGGTCCTAGGGTCTTGTTATTTTTTTGTCTCTTTATCGCTTCTGTCAGATCTATCATCCTTATTTTTTCATTTAGCATGTTTTTAATATTTTCAGTCACTTTTGGTAATTTGGCTTTTTCCAAGTATTGTCTTATCCTTTCCTCCAGAATTTCTTCTTTGTCATATAATTCTTCACAATATTCCTGAATTATTTTCTTCTTATTCTCATTTTGAAACAGTGTGTTTCCTTTCCAATCTAGTAGTTTATTAATCAATTTCTTCTCCCTCCCTTTTTTCAGTTTATAGGGTAACCATCTTTATGGTTTGTTGGCATTTTTGAAAAATGTTTTCTTCTTTTAATTTGTTGCGACAATTCTTTTTCTATTAAATTTAGTGTTTGTTTTATTATTTCCATTTGTTCTTTTAAATTTTTCTTTTCTGGATCTTTTTGCAATTCTAATTCCAATTTTTTTATGTTCTGCTTCTAATGTCTTTTGATGTTGTTTCTTCTTATTCTCTCACTATATAGGTTATGGCTAATCCTCTAATGTATACTTTTGTTGTATCCCATAAATTTTGTAGTGAGGTGTCTTCTTTTTTTGTTTTCTTTAAAAAAGAATTCCATTTTTTTCACTATTGTTAGCATAAACTCTTTATCTTTTAATATAGATTGATTCAATGTTCATCTCTACCTTTTCTTTTCTCCTTTCCAACTGTCTTTTATTGGGTTATGGTCGGCCCAAATTTCTTCTGCCATGTTAAAAAATGTCTTGGGAAGTATCTTGGCTTTTTTCCTGATCTTACTACTTTTGTAGTCTAATTTTGCATGTACAATTGCATTTAAATCTCCTACAACACAAATATTTCCATATTCCACTTTCAATATCCTTTCATACAGCTTTTGATAGAATTCTTCTTGCTTATTATTTGGTGCATGTATTGCTATCAACAATATCTTTTTTTTTATTCATCACTATCTCCACCATTAAAATTCTTCCTTCTTCATCCGTATATATTTGTTTAGAGTTTACTGTTTCCTATATATATAGTGCTACCCCTCTTTTCTTTTGTTGTGCTGATGAGAAATATAATTTCCCAATTTTGGGGTACTCCAGTAATTTACTGTATTGCTTTTTTATGTGGGTCTCCTGGAGGCAAATTATATCTACTTTGAGTTTTTGTAATTGTGTAAAAAAATCCTTTTTATGGAGGAGTTCAATCCATTTATATTTATTGACAACATCTTGCTTTCCCCCTCCATCTCCTTTATTTATATATAGGTCTTATTCTCCTAGTTATTTTTATTCATCTCTGATCCTTTGCCCTTACTTCTTCTCATTCTGGTCTCTGTGCTTCTCCTTCTTGTTGTATACTCCTCTCTTCTCCTGTTGATTCCTCTTGTGTTTGATGTTCCAACTCCTCCTATTTCTTGAGCCTCATTTGCAACAATGTAACTGTCATAAAATTCTATCGCCTTATCTAGCAAAACCAGTCTGTACCTTTTCCCCTCCCAATTCACTAATATTTCCTCTGGTACCAACCATCTAAAATTTGCTTCTCTTTTAATCAGTTTAGCAGCCAGAAATTGGTATTGCTTTTGTAAATCTCTTACCCTCCTAGGGATCTGTTTTAGAACCACAATTTCTTTCTCTTTAAATTTCAGTGGATCATCTCTTGCCCTTTTATATATTTTATCTCTTATTGATTTTTTAACAAATCTCATGTGCACCTCCCTCGGGACCTAATGTCTCCTTGCATAAACGTAAAGGTTCCCCTCGCACATACGTGCTAGTTGTTCCCTACTCTAGGGGATGGTGCTCATCTCTGTTTCAAGGCTGAAGAGCCAGCACTGTCTGAAGATGTCTCCATGGTCATGTGGCTGGCATGACTAAATGCCAAAGGCGCATGGAATGCAGACATGATATTCTTCCGATTAAAATCGGAATTCCGATTTTTTGGGGAATCGTCCCCCTTCCCCCCCCCTTCTTCTCCTTCCCCTCCCCTCGGAGGCCCCGAGTCAGGAGTTGCTACCGCTGACGCGGCTCTGCGTGGCTCCAGTCCCGCGTTGCCTCAGGAAGGGAAAGGCAAAAAGGAA